GGAAACCCAGTACAGGGTTGCTATGGGTCGGAACCGACTTGACGGCAGTTAACAACAACAACATGTGCTCAACTAAGTAGCCATCTTGCTTCATTGCTTTTATGGTTACTGTTTGTGCACAAGGATTTTAAATGGCCTTGAAATTACCTTGAAAACCCTAGCTGGGCACAGGCGACATTTGCATAGACACCTTTCCAGTCATCGGAGCACATGGTCTTCCAGGAGGCAGCTGTAAATACCTGGAGCACAGCATTCTGGCCACTCACCCGCACTGGCCAACACAGAAGAAAAATCCCATTAGTAGCCATGGTGGCTTGAGACCATGTGCAGAGATTCCATATCTCATTTTGTCTCACACATAAATGCAGAGCTAGCAGTTATTGAGTTATATGCATTTCCATTAGTTATTTCTCCTCACTAGTTATTATCATTCGTTATAACTGTTATTCCTGCATGGTCAACTCAACCCCTTCCTGCAATGGGTTTAACTTTGTTTCTATCTACTAGGCTTTACCCACCTTGCAGGGCAGTGATAGCTGTTACTATCTGGACCTCTGGAGATCTCTTGGGGGTTTCTTAGTGTTGTTTATGAAGCCTCCCCAAATGAATTTAGGCTCCATGTAGCTCCCTCCCTTAATGCCCAGTCTAGTGTCTCCTGGAACGAATGCCAATTCAATCCCAATTGACAACACAACTTAACAATGATCTGGACCCATTTCCCAGATGAGAAAGGTAAGGGTTAGGCATCTGCTAACTTCCTCTTAGTTCTACAGGGGAAACACTTGACATTACCACATCGGTATTCATCCTCTCCATCTTTACAGTTGGAGACCCCGTTGCAACGAGCTGAGAGTTCAATACACTTAAAAGATGACCGGCATCTATACTTCCCAGAGCAGTCGAAGTGGACTGAGGAAAGGAGAAAGGACATGAAAGCATTAACATCTTCCTCAGTGTGCAGCATTAATAACCAGCAAAGTCCTGGGGAAAATTATCTTCCACCTGCCCCGTGGCACTAAGCTTATCCACTAATAATGAAATTGCATGCAAATCCTCCATCCAGCTCTCAGCCCAGTTTCTGTTCTGAATTCCAGGGGAGAGGGATTGCTAGACTTCTCCTTGTCTCATTCGAGGCCTGATCTGAGAGCCACACTCAAGGTGAATTTAGACTCTGATGAGCTCAAGGTCAAGAGTGAAGCTGCAGGAGTGTTAACTGGCCAGCTAACCAGTTGAGCAAGAAACACTAACCGCTTGCTCAGTTACACACACCACCCTCTGCTCCTCTTACTCTGGGCAAGAAGTAAATGAACTGCAGGCCACACCGCCGAACAGGTAGGGAATTAAATTGATCTGTGATCCACTTATTCAAAAAAGAAAATAAGAAATTGTTCCCAATTAGAGACCCTCCAAATGACCCACTTTCTCAAAAGCCTTACTTTAAAAATAGCTGGCATATTTGGCATTGCATGAATGGGCTTTTTTGTCCTCTCTATCCCGCCTGCAGGATCCTGTTACATCAGCTGCCTTTGGACATTTCTAACTGAGCAATTTCCTTGGTGATGAAGTCCCAAGCATGGCCAACAGCCCCCCGCTTGGCCCAGAATGGCTTTACACTCACGTAGGCAAATAAAACTCAACATTGGCAAACCAGAAGGATGTTTGTTTCCAGTAATTAAGGCTGGGCAGTGGCAAAATACTGGTGTGTGGGGGGTAGTTCATGAAAGTTTAAGTGCTTGGATAGGTATTTGATAGCCTACTAAATAATAAATTATACTCACTGCCCAGACCAATGGCCAGTGCTAAGATCAGTGCAATTATCCCAATAACAATGATTGGGAAGAACTTCAATGGCAACAGAGACAGGATCTGAGCAGCAACCGCATCCGCATCCGCATCTGAAAACCAGAAAGAAAGATAAAAGCAGAAAACTATAAAACATCAATTACAAATTTAATAAATGCTTAAAATTTAGCTTCCATTTCCTTCTCCCTCTATGCAGAGACAGCCATAGCCCCAAGCAAGTTGCCTTAATTAGAAAAATAGCCACCTATCAGGAATGGTGGGAGTTTCTGGTTGGGACAAATGATTAACAAGCTTGGTTGTTAAACCAAGGTTTGAAGGTTCGAGGCCATTCAGAAGAATCTTGAAAGGAAAGTCTGGCAAACTGCTGATGAAAACTCAGCCATTGAAAATCCCTGGAGGACAGGTCTACTCTGATACACATGGGGTTGTCATAAGTCAGAGATGGCTCCAGAGCAACCAGAGTGGTACTAAATGGGGAGACGCTCAAGAGAGAGAGAGAGAGAGAGTCTCATTCCATCCAGCTCTCTTCAGTTTTGTTCATCCTGGGTTGTGGTATGGGAAGGAGAGCCCAACTCCCAAAAATGTTTCCCCACAGAAAAGGTGACATGTAAAACCGAAACAGGTGTGTTCAAGCAGAGAGAAAACCGAGATCTGTAAGGAGGTCACAATAAAAGGATATTGGGGGAATATATGAGCAGGCATATGGTCTTGCTGGTGACCACGTTGGTCTACCGATAAGGGGAAGTGGGGGGAAAACATCAATGAAGTTGTAAGCTAAGTCCAACCAAGTTCAACAGACTCCTGTCCACCTTGGTTAAGACTTGGCCAGCAGTATGGCGAGACCTGGGGACTCCTGGACCCAAGGACAGGGACATGGCCACAGAGGACTAGAGCAGAGAATGAAGCATCCAGCTGATGTAAAGTGAGGGGAGATGCAAAAGAACACCCATACTTGCAGATATTTGGCCTATCTTCAATAGCTGGATGATCATAACTCAACTAGAGGAAGAAAGAAGAGGGAAAAAAGAGTAATCTGCTACAATTTTGATGAACGTGACCTATACTTATGGATGTGGTAGTTCAAAAGAGGGAACAAATCTTTACAGTGAGGATCATTTACACCCTCTTGGTACACAGAGTCAACAGGGATGGGCAACTTAGACATTGGCTACCCAAAATGGGCGGGAGCCTAAAAAGGCAAAAAGTGACTGGCTTACAAGCTTTCAAGAGGGAGCCTAGTTTCAGAGGGTATGGGGGAAGGTAAAAATCACTGAGTGGTTTCCAACCTGTCTGGACCGGGCTGGTGAAATGAGATGGGGATAAAACTCTTATGGATCAATAGTGAATAATTGCTATCAGGACTGATTGTGAGTGTTGCAAATGTAAAGGTAGACATTTTGTAACAAAAGGAGGGGAGTGGTTGATCTTGCAGTCCAGGAGCTGGGGACCCTGGGACCATCAAGTGAGAAGAGTGGACTGCTGGACCCTATCCAGAGAAACAGTGACGCCAGAGATGGAGGCAGAGACGATGATGTGACGTGGAGAGATGGAGTGGCTGGGGACTCTGGACTCAGGGAGGGAGAGGGGTTGTGTGCTGATGGTCTGGGGCGGGGTGGGGGGAGGGCTTGCAGGGTGTACCCTTTGGTTGTTTAAATGGTTATATATTCCTGAATGCTTCAGTGTACATCCAAAAAAAGAGAAAGAGAGAATGGGAAGAAAAATAAAAAGGATATTGGGAGACAATACTGCATGAATCTTTGCTCTCACATGTTGTAAGCAGGGGAAAGCAAAAACTGATGGTCTTTGTTCTGGGCCATCTCTTCCAGGATGTGTGCAGAACAAAAAGTCTTAGAAGACATAGATAATATCTTCTTCAGAGTAAAGCACAGGTTTGTTTACTATCTGGTTCAGTAAAAGTAGCATCTTCATTGGAGGCAAGTGTTATGCAGGTTCTCTTGCAGCCTGCTTGCAGAAAAATGTGGCACTCACCATTCCTCCCAAGGAGCTCTGGTAGCGTAGTGGTTATGAGTCAGAATGCTAACCTCAAGGTCAGCAGTTTGAAACTACCAGCAGTCCCATGGGAGAAAGACAAGGCTTTCTGCTCCCGTAAAGATTTACAGCCTCAGAAACCCTATGCAGGGTCGCTATGAGTTGGAACCTACTCCACAGCACATAACCACCATCAACAACAACCCTTCCTCCCATAGTACTTTCTAATCAGTTGGGTTCAATAACTCATTACAATGACCACACAGAACACAGACACCATATTCACCATTATGGGGTTTATTAGGGAAATGAATAGGTTACCACCATTCAGCATCCAAAATGCTCAGGATACTTGCTGCAGTCAGGATAGCCTTTTCCCAGCCATGTCCACAGGCAGGCTTCCAATGTTACAAAGCCTTTTGAGGGCTGGTGATAAATGCCCATAGAACACACCACTCCACCATAAGCCTCAGCCTGGAAGCCTTTAGCACTAGTTCTATGGGTCAGCAAACCTAGCTGGAGACACTCCATACTTCAAGCAAGCCTCCTGCCCACAGCCGCTCAGCTTTACTTGCTCTGTGGGCTGGGAGGCTCACTGCTCTGTCGCATGTTGCAGCTCTTGGTTCTTCTGCTGCTGCTCCTCCTCTGCCACTCCACCAGTGTCACAGCTTTCTGTCCCTGGGTTAAGGAATTTCAATGCACAAGGATCTCTGGGTCAAAAGGACTTACCCCACTTCTCACTACTCCTTGATGATAGTAGAATCCCTCCTCCTATTTCTGAAATGGCTTATTTTATGCCCATGCTAGAGTTTCAAGTTTTTATTATTATAATGAGCTCCGTTAACATCCACACCTGAATCATATCATCCTATCTGTATCTTCTCCCACCTTCTCTTGCTCAAACCCATCGGGAAAAGAGTCAATTCTGGAAGTTACAAAGACTAAGGCTGGAAGACGTATGATAAATAAATACTTCACTACACCACATTACTATAAAAGACTGGAGTTTCCTTAGCTCTGGATTACTCAGTTGTGATGCAAGCTCAATGAATGTGCAGTGTCTACTTGACCTCTCCACATTGCTTCCATGGTGCCCAGAGGCCAGGGGGATCTGATGAGAACATAAAACTCATGCTGCCTGCTGTGTTATGTGTAATAAAGCCCTTTGTCTATGACTCAGGAGTCTTCTGTCTCCTTTTAGCATCTATGAAATTGTGGGAGGCTAACTTATTAGCGTCGTGGAATAATTATCAATATATTAACTCATGGAAGTAGCAGTCAAGAAATCAAATGACGTATTGCATTAGGCAAATCTGCTGCACAAGACCTTTTGAAAGTGTTGAAGAGCAAAGATGTCAGCTTGAGGACTAAGGTATGCCTGACCCAAGCCATGGTTTTTTTCAATAACCTCATATATATTGCAAAAGCTGGACAGTGAGTAAGGAAGACCATAGAAGAACTGATGCTTTTGAGTTATGCTTTTGGAGGAGAATATTGAAAGTGCCATGGGCTGCCAAAAGAACCAGCAGATCTGTGTTGGAAGAAATGCAGCCAGAGTGCTCCTTAGAGGCCAAGATGGCTAAACTTTGTCTCTCACACTTTGGACATATTGTCAGGAGGTACCAGTTGCTGGAGAAGGTATCATGTTTGTTAAGGTAGAGGGTCAGAGAAAAAGAGGAAGACCCCCAGCAAGATGGACTGGCAAAGTGGCAGCATCAATGGGCTCAAGCGTAGCAACAGTAGTGAGGTTGGCCCAGGACCAGGTAGTGTTTCATTCTGTTGTTCTGTTGTTCGCTATTAGTCAGTACCAACTCGATGACACCTAACAACAACAACAACTTATTAGATTGCAAGTAAGGTAAAATCTCAGATCTTGCAAAATTCTTGCCTCAAACAAGATTGTTGTTTAATTGCCATCAAGTCAACTCTTGACATGTGGGACCCCATGCACAGTGGGATCAGACTTCTGTGATCCGTAGGGTCCTGACTTAACATCAGAAGTAGCTCTCTAGACCCTTCTTCATAGTCTGTCTTAGTATGAAAGTCCCACTGACAACTGTTCAGCATCATAGCAACACACCAGCCCCTACTACTGATTGGTGGCTGTACTTGAAGTGCATTGGCTGGGAATTGAGCCTAGGTCCCCCACATTATAATCAAACCGCAAGTGGATTGACACACTGGCAACAACTATGGGCTCAAATATAACAGCAATTGTGAGTATGGGGCAGAGCTGGGTCGGCAGTGTTTTGTTCTGTGGTGCATAGGGGGCTATGATTTGGGAGAAACTTGACAGCACCTAACAACAACAACATAGGTGCTCCAGAATCTCCAATGGTGCCACCTAACAACAACAACATAGGTGCTCCAGAATCTCCAATGGTGCCGGGGATTTGATAAGAAGTCTGAGCATTAGATACACACTTGCAGTATGATTATAATGTGTAAAACTTTCTGAGGTCAAATTGCAAACACATACCAAAAAACTTTAAAATGGATGTAATTTTTAATCTAATATTTTAATTTCTAGGTATATATCCTAAAATATCGTTATATTGTTGTTGTTAAGTGCTGTCGAGTCGGTTCTAACCCATAGCGACCCTGTATAGGGTTTCCGAGGAGCAGCTGGTGAGCTTGAACTGCCGACCTTGTAGTTCAAATGGCTTTGCAGTCTGGCGCATTAACCCACAGTGCTGCACCAGGAGGTACATAAATCTCTATCGATAAGGAATGGTGTTTATGGAAAACAGCCTAAATATATATATATATATATATATAAAAGGGGAAATAATAAATAGTATATACGTATAATGGAATACTCATTCAGGCAGTCCCTAGATTACAAATGAGTTCCATTCCTAAATCCGTCTTTAAGTCAAATTTGTATGTGAATCAGAATAGTTTGGCAAGGTTCATATCTTAAGTCAGTTAGTCAAATGTTTGTCTTAGTTATAGTATATAGTGTACCATTGTATGAATTTAAAAAAATAAAGAAATGCTTCCAGTTACCCTAAAACTTGTTGACATTGTAGTTGTTGTGATTGTTACGTGTCATCCAGTCACATCATAATGACCCTGAGGAGTGGCTGGTAGATTTCAAAGG